CTCGTTCTCCAGGAACCTAGTTGGTGTCGGCTGCCCCCAGGACCTTGGCGTCACCACTACGTTCCCTGGTCACGAGCGGTATGGTGTCTGTACCGAGGCCGCCACTGGTGCCCCCCTGTCCACGTTCCCCCGGGACCCGGTGTCCGGCCTGTTCACTCTGGACACCGTGACCCCCCCGGCTGGAGCGCTCACCCAGGTTGCTGCTGCCTGCTCCTGTCGGTCCCTCACTCACCCGAACCTCCTTTGGCACCACCGCCTAGGTCACCCTGCACTCCCACGTCTGCGTCACATGTCCCAGAACGGTCTTGTCCTTGGTCTCCCAGGTTCCCTCCCCGCGTTTCCCTCCTCCCCAGCCCCACCTTGCACGCCTTGTGTCGAGGGTCGGCTTCGCCGTGCCCCTCACTCCTCCTCATTTCCCCCTACTGCCGCGCCTCTGCAGACCCTGCACCTGGACGTCTGGGGCCCCGCCCCCGTCCCTGGGCCACGTCGAGAGCGCTACTTCCTTGTGCTTGTCGACGACTTCACTCGTTACACCACAGTCTTTCCCCTAGAGCGCAAGGCCGACGTGCCTGGAGCTCTCATCCCCTGGCTTGTCTCTGCGCGTGTCCACCGCGGTCTTCCTGTCTTGCGTCTTCACTCAGACCGTGGTGGCGAGTTTGCCTCAGGTGTCCTTGGTCGCTTTTGTCGTGCGGAGGGCATCACCCAGACGTTCACCCTACCGGACTCCCCACAGCAGAATGGGGTCGCTGAGCGACGCATCGGTTTGGTCATGGAGGTGGCTCGCACCTCCATGATCCATGCCGGTGCACCCCATTTTCTGTGGCCGTTCGCTGTGCGCTACGCTTCTCACCAACTTAACTTGTGGCCGCACCCTCAGCAGCCGCAGGTTTCGCCGACCCGTCTTTGGACTGGGTCTCCTGGTGACGCGTCTGCATTCCACGTCTGGGGCTGCCTTGCTCATGTCCGTGCCTCCGGCACGGACAAGCTCACTGCCCGCACCCTTCCCTGCGTCTTCCTCGGTTTTCCCCTTGACGCGCCTGACTGGCACTTTTACCACCCGCCGTCTCACCGGTTCTTTCACTCTCGTGACGTCACCTTTGACGAGTCTGTCTTCTACTACCGTCGCTTCCCCCACCGTGGTCCCCCGGTTACCCCCCCCCTGTTCCTGGTCACTCCTTCCCCGGTCGTCCCTGCCCCTCCTCCTCCTCCTCCCCATCCCGCCCCCTCTGGTGTGTCCCACGTCACCCCCCTTCAGTCGGTGGACCCGGTTGAGGAGTCTTCTGACTCTGGTGGCCCTCCTGTTCAGTCCTCGCCGGCCGCCCCTCCCCTGGCGTCCCCTCCCCAGTCCCCCCCTCCACCGCCTCTGCCGCCGCTGCAGCCGTCGTTGTTGCGGCCGCCGTCGCAGCACCCGTTCACTGACTCTGGGGGTGCTCGTCCCGGTAGCCCTGGGGGTGGTCCCTCTGGGGGTGCTGGTGTGGAGAGTGCCGGTGGTAGCCGAGGAGCAGCTTGCGGTCCCGGTGTCGCCGTTGTGCCGCCGCAGCAGCAGTCCCCGCCGGTGTCAGCCCTTCGCCTGCTCGGCCTTCCGTCCCCCGACCCTGCGTCGGTTCCTCCCCGACCGTCTCCTCCGATTCCTGTCTACGGCCCTGTCTTCCCTCCGCCGGACTCGTCCCCTGCCCGTCTCCCCCCTCATTCCCCTCCTGTGTCCCCTCCTCTGTCTCCTGACCCGACTCCTCCGTCGCACGTCTGGTCTCACCGTCCCTCCCGTGCTCGTCCTGCCTCGCCTGTCTTGCGCTCCCACCCTTTGTTGCTTCGTTCCCACGCGTCTCGTCCTCCCCTTCTCCCGTCGCCTCCTCCGTCCTCCCTTGTTGTTGCACCCCCCCCGCTGTCTGACTACCTTCGTGCCGCTCGTCCCCTTGTTCCTCGGGTCCTTGCCTCTCTCGTTACCGACCCGTCTGTTCCGGCCTCGTGCCTTGACGCTCTTGTCGCCGCTGTCGCTGACTTCGCCTCTACCCGCCACCTTGACTACGCCTCCGCTCTGGTCTCTGACCCTGCCTGTCCTCCGTCTGTCGGGGGTGCTCCTGCCCTTGGCAGTGACGTCCTGGAGGACCGCCAGTTCGAGCTTGCTTTCCTCTCCGAGGCTGCTCCCCATCTCTGTTCCATGCTGCTAGTCCCTGAGGGTGACCCAGACGCTTTCGACATCCAGACCCCTCGCACTTACGCTGAGGCGACTTCGGGACCCTGGGCCTCGCAGTGGATAGCTGCCATGGAGCAGGAGATGGCATCTTGGAGATCCACCGGCACCTTCGTCGACGCAGTTCCCCCACCTGTGGTGAACGTAGTCGATGGCCGCTGGCTCTTCAAGGTGAAGCGCCCTCCTGGAGAGCCGCCTGTCTTCAAGGCGCGCTATGTGGCTAGAGGCTTCAGTCAGCGTGAGGGGGTAGACTTCTTCCAGACCTTCGCTCCGACCCCGAAGATGACTACTCTTCGGGTTCTGTTACACCTAGCTGCTCAGCGTGACTACGAGCTCCACTCCCTCGACTTCTCCACTGCCTTCCTTCAGGGCAGCCTACACGAGCAGGTCTACTTGCGTCGTCCTCAGGGCTTTACTGGTACCTTCCCTCCTGGGACCCAGTGGCTCCTGCGGCGCCCCGTCTACGGCCTGCGCCAGGCTCCCCGTGAGTGGCACGACACTCTCCGTGCTACGCTTGCTGACCTGCAGTTCTTTCCGTCTTCCGCAGACCCTTCACTCTTCGTTCGTGCTGGCCAGACTCCATTCTACATCCTTGTTTACGTCGACGACTTGGTCTTTGCCACAGCAGACAGGGACGCACTGGCCTCCGTGAAGGCAGAGCTGCTGACGAGACGCACGTGCACTGACCTTGGAGAACTGCGCCGTTACCTTGGCTTGCAGATCTCCAGGGACAGAGCAGCGCGCACCATCACCCTGACTCAGTCACACTTGGTGCGCCAGGTCCTTCAGAGGTTCAGCCTTCAGTTCTCCTCTGCACAGCCCACCCCTCTGCCTGTAGACCACAGACTCTCCGCTCCAGTGTCTGAGGAGTTGGTAGAGCCCAGCGGCCCCTACGCAGAGCTGGTGGGTTGCCTCATGTACCTGATGACTTGCACTCGCCCAGATCTCGCATACCCTCTCAGCATCCTGGCTCGCTTTGTGGCCACAGGCAGACACCGACCGCAGCACTGGTCTGCCGCTAAGAGGGTTCTGCGTTATCTTGCTAGTACATCGGGCATGGGGTTAGTGCTAGGAGGACGCAGGCCAGTGGTCCTTACTGGACACACAAACGCTTCTTGGGCAGACGACGCTGAGACACTCAGGTCTACCCAGGGCTACTGCTTCAGCCTTGGCTCAGGTGCCGTCTCGTGGAGAGCTACCCGCTCCTCGTCTGTTGCGCAGTCCAGCTGTGAGGCTGAGATCTACGCTGGTGCCATGGCGGCACAGGAGCTCCGCTGGCTGACCTTCTTGCTCACTGACTTAGGTGAGCGGCCTAGCTCTGCCCCGGTCCTGTTCGCTGACAACAGGGCCATGATCGTCCTGTGTCAAGAGCCTCGACTCGAGGGCAGAGCAAAGCACATTCAGCTGCGGTACTTCCTCCTGCGTGAGTTACAGCAGCGACGTCAGGCTCGCGTAGTACACTTGGCCTCAGGTGCCAACACGGCTGATATCTTTACGAAGGCGCTTGCGCCTAAAGATCATCAGCGGCACTGTGTACAGCTTGGTCTAGTTCCTGTAGCCTCTCACTTGCTAGGACCTTGACTTTGTTCTGTCCTTTATACGTATACTCAGACTGGACTTGTGTCCTCTCCAGGTGGCTGGACTAGTAGTGCCGCCCTGCTCTTGTTCTTGCCTTGTCTGTACTCCTTCTGACTGGTCTCTCAGACCCTTGTCTCAGAGGTTGGACTAGTAGTGCCGCCCTGAGCTGCTTGTTTAGGACATTCCCCTATGCAGTCTAGGGGGTGTGTCAAACATGTGTATTTGTCATGTTTGTATAGACTGTATAGGGTAGGCTCTTAGAGGGTACAACACTTAGGTATATCTGTTTGTACTCTCACCCTATCATTATTCATTAGTCTAATCTTGATAAAGCATGCCCTCCACTGCACAGGTACTCTGAGTCTGGTGGTGATGGGGAGAGGATGGGGGGGGGGGGGGAGGGAGGAAGGATGGAAGGCGTGGGTTAAGCCACTTGGAAAGAAGAAGGCTGAGAAGCATTGGCTCTGCAATTTGTGGCGACAGCAGCAAGAATTTTGAGGCGCCTAAAAGTTAATTGGTTCTGCCATTTGTGGCGACAGCAGCAAGAATTTGAAGGCGCCTAAATAATAATTGGCTCTGCCATTTGTGGCGACAGCAGCAAGAATAGTACGACGCAGAAGGGGAATCACTGCTGATATCTTTACTAAGGCGCTTGCTCCTAAAGATCGTTAGCGGCACTGTTTGCAGCTTGGTCTAGTTCTTGTAGCTCCTCACTTGCTAGAACCTTGATTGTGTACTCGTCTTTATATATACCTTCTTGACTGGCCTTGTGGCTTCTCTTCCTGTGGCCGGACTAGTAGTGCCGCCCTGATTTGCCCTTGTCGAGTTTGTACTCTTGCTGACTGGTCTTCGGACCCCTACCTCAGAGGTTGGACTAGTAGTGCCACGCTGAGTGGCGTGTTTCTTGCTCAGCACTACCCCTTATCTAGCTTAGGGGGTGTGTCGACTTATACATCTGTTTATATATAGAAGTTATAGGCTAGATAGGTTTGTGTTCATAGAGGGTACAACTCCAACCCTATATGCTCCCCTGTACCACTTTGTGCTAATCATTCCTGCTATTCTAACATTTAGATGATGCCCACCTTTTTGTTTTTCATTGACAGACCCGAGGTGGTTTGTTGTGCCTATGCTAAGAAGGACAGTGGCGAGAGTAGCCCCCAGCTGTTTTGCGAAGAGATTTTAGTGGCGTGTTCTAGAGTGAGCCCCACATGCATTCCACTAACACATCAACTAAAGATGATTTTTATTGCTTCTTTAGCAACTTTTTAGAGGCTGCAGGGAAGGCATGCTGGTTCACATCCTTAAGTGAACTATGGGAATTACAGGCAACCAACGTGCACAACTTGCATTTATGACCTGCCATTCTTTTGTCAAGCTGGCTCAAAACGGGCGCGTCCTTAGCAGCATTGCGGCTTGCCATTGTTGATGCAGCAGCCGCCCCTCTTGCAGCAGATCTGCCCTCCACAGCAGGGGTACTCTGCGTCCTGTGGCGATGAGAAGAGGGGAGGGGGGGGGGGGGGAGTAAAAGGGTGTAAAGGGGGTCGGAAGGTAAGTGGCAGTCCCCTCTGTTGCGGCAAGCATGCCCTCCACTGCACAGGTACTCTGAGTCTGGTGGTGATGGGGAGAGGATGGGGGGGGGGGGGGAGGAAAGGATGGAAGGCGTGGGTTAAGCCACTTGAAAAGAAGAAGGCTGAGAAGCATTGGCTCTGCAATTTGTGGCGACAGCAGCAAGAATTTTGAGGCGCCTAAAAGTTAATTGGTTCTGCCATTTGTGGCGACAGCAGCAAGAATTTGAAGGCGCCTAAATAATAATTGGCTCTGCCATTTGTGGCGACAGCAGCACGAATAGTACGACGCAGAAGGGGAAACAAGGGTAAGAGGAGTGGAGCAGAAGAGGCCAACAGGCGTACAATGCAGCAGGCGCCCCGCAGAAGATGCTGGGGGGAGAATTCCCGGGGCGGCCAGCGTAGGGGCAGAAAGAGATACGATGGGGGAAGGGAGGGGCAGGGAAGGGAGCGGAAGGGGTTGCGAGACTTACAATGCAGCAGGCGCCGCCGCAGAAGATGCTGGGGGGCGAATTCCCGGGGCGACCGGCGTAGGGGCAATATCCCTCGCCTCCGCCGCTGCTCGTTGCGCTCCCCCTGCCGTGCTTCCTTGCTTTGTACGCCCCGCTGCCCCCGCTACCCCCACTGCTGCTGCCGCTGTTGCTTCCGCTGTTGCTGCCGCCGCTGCTCGCGCTGCTCTTGTTCTTCTTGCTGCTGTGGTTAGACGACGAGGAAGTGGAGGAGGACGAGGAAGACGAAGAGGACGAGGAGGAATGCTCGCTGGAGGATTTGAGCACCCGCGCATTATTAGTGCTCGCCGGTGCGTGGGAGTCGCCACTGGTCGCGCCAAAGGACTTGGACCTGAGAGCCGAAGAACTGGGTTCTGAAGCGGTTAGCTGTGGTGCGACCGAGAGAGCTAGCGCGGCCGCTAGGAGCGCGAGGAGGAGATAACGGTTATAAGCCATTCTTAACGAGGCTTGGCTGCGCTGTTTGACCGACGGAAGGAGGAAGATCTGTGATCTACCGGGTAATGTGATCTGCCACGGTGGTGGTGGCGTGCAGCTGCTGATTTGGTAGAGGTGAGGCCGTGTCGGCTGATAAGCTGTCGGAATCAGTTTGTGTCGGCTGGTAGTTATCGCGTTTATGCGGTTTGTGCAGTTTATGCTTATCACGTTTCAGCGAAGGCCTGAGGACTCATCAGCAGCAGCCTAGAGACAGGACCGTGCTAGCGGACTCGTCCTAGGGCAAATGGCGGTCGGTTGGGGGAGTCGGGGGGACTGGGGCGAGGTCGGTCGGGGAGTCGGGACTAGGGAGTCGCAGCTGAAAATAGAGGTTGAATTCAGGAGAGAATCGGGAATCGAAATTCCTGTGAAATGTGCGTCGAAGCGCGCAATGTGACGAAATTCGGGAGCCGAATCTCCGCGCCAGAACATTTTCTAGTGTCGCTTGCTCTCGCGATGAAAACAGTTTGCGCTGACCGCTGTTTGCGCTGTTCGTTTGGTGCGGTTGAGAACGTTTCGTCGCAAAAAAGGGCGGTTTCTTGAGGTGAAACTCTGGTGACGCTCTGGCAAAGCAACCCTTAGGCTCGTCAGAGCTGGTCTTGATGGGTCAAGAATGTGAATCAGCGGTTTCCGTTGCCCTGACATTTCGCCCCTGATTTCCGCAAGAACAGCTCTGACAGCAGGACAAGTCAGCCAGCCACTGTGTAGTTTCAAATTAGATTTCAGGCATTTCTTTCGCATATATAATCAGACAACGATATATATATATATATAGAATTTAGATGGACAAAGGTTTAAATTCACAAGAGTTGATCATGCATAACGCCTTCAGGCAGGTCATGTAAAATTAGGGAACCTATGGTAGGGATAATTTGCAAGCTACCAAAAGGTTGTCCAAGTACCGCGCAGCGGAAATATCCCATAGATGCAACTTGATGGTCGTGGTACATCATGCGAATATGAGCGAACGTATGCGATTCTGTATACCTCTAGCCTGACTTCGACCTGTATCAAAGTCGACTCTTAGCGATGTCTTTGAAATATTCTATCTGTAAAGGCGTGTGTCTTACAGTTCCGAAACCCGACTACTTCCGTAACAGGTATTGGTTACACAGCTCGCAGAGCCTTTACAGTTCGTGAATTCCTCTCCAGGCAAAAGTTTCGCGAAAACCGGAACTAGTTATGGAATTTCCAGGAGCGGAACTGCAAGACACTTGCCCTAAGAGCTGTTCAGAGTGGACGACATCGTTATTTTTACGACAGTGTCGTCGTTTCACCGCGTCTCATCCCGCCCAGACGCACAGAAACCCGATCAAACGTATTAAACCTTCTGGCACCGCATTGCGACGTCGTTATTTTCTTCCGTCAAAGCTCTCTGAACAGCTCTAACTTTCCCTACCATCCGCCACTGAATCCAGAGCAGCTGCTTAGTCTGCCGGCGTTACGCACGGGCGTGTTTCCCTAATATTCTTCTATTTCTATCTGACTGGCCGTCGGCGGGCCTACACCTCCTCACACGGGAACACGCGACGAGTTTTGAGGCGCGCTAAAGCGCACGGTTAAACCTAAAGCGCATGCGGTTTTTGTACGAAGAGCTCCAGAGAATTTTAAGGTTCGAAGAAAGTCACCCCAGCCGTCGACGGGGCTACTCCTCACACGGAAACAGACGACGCAGTCACGAGCAGAATAGGTAAGTCGCCATCGTTTATCGGCACGCTCTTGACCGCCACCAGTTGCCATTCCTGTCGATATCCCGTCTCCAAGAATATTTGCCACGCAATTCCACCTTCTCTGCCATCACTGCCATCGCTGCTGTCCCTGCCGTTTCGCCGTCCCTGCCTGTCAGATATCCCTTCCATTCCCTCCTCCCTTCCCTCCTCCCTTCCCTCCTCCCTTCCATTCCCTCCTCCTTCCATTCCCTCCTCCCTTCCCTCCTCCCTTCCATTCCCTCCTCCCTTCCATTCCCTCCTCCCTTCCATTCCCTCCTCCCTTCCATTCCCTCCTCCCTTCCCTCCTCCCTTCCCTCCTCCCTTCCCTCCTCCCTTCCCTCCTCCCTTTCCTCCTCCCTTCCCTCCTCCCTTTCCTCCTCCCTTCCCTCCTCCCTTTCCTCCTCCCTTCCCTCCTCCCTTTTCTCCTCCCTTCCCTCCTCCCTTCCCTCCTCCCTTCCCTCCTTCCTTCCCTCCTCCCTTTTCTCCTCCCTTCCCTCCTCCCTTTTCTCCTCCCTTCCCTCCTCCCTTCCCTCCTCCCTTCCCTCCTCCCTTTTCTCCCCCCTTCCCTCCTCCCTTCTCTCCTCCCTTCCCTCCTCCCTTCCCTCCTCCCTTCCCTCCTCCCTTCCCTCCTCCCTACCCTCCTCCCTTCCCTCCTCCCTTCTCTCCTCCCTTCCTTCCTCCCTTCCCTCCTCCCTTCCTTCCTCCCTTTTCTCCTCCCTTCCCTCCTCCCTTCCCTCCTCCCTTTTCTCCTCCCTTCCCTCCTCCCTTTTCTCCTCCCTTCCCTCCTCCCTTCCCTCCTCCCTTCCCTCCTCCCTTCCCTCCTCCCTTCCCTCCTCCCTTCCCTCCCCCCTTTTCTCCTCCCTTCCCTCCTCCCTTCCCTCCTCCCTTCCCTCCTCCCTTCTCTCCTCCCTTCCTTCCTCCCTTCCCTCCTCCCTTCCTTCCTCCCTTTTCTCCTCCCTTCCCTCCCCTTCCCTCCTCCCTTTTCTCCTCCCTTCCCTCCTCCTTTTCTCCTCCCTTCCCTCCTCCCTTCCCTCCTCCCTTCTCTCCTCCCTTCCCTCCTCCCTTCCCTCCTCCCTTCCCTCCTCCCTACCCTCCTCCCTTCCCTCCTCCCTTCCCTCCTCCCTTCCTTCCTCCCTTTTCTCCTCCCTTCTCTCCTCCCTTCCCTCCTCCCTTCCCTCCTCCCTTCCCTCCTCCCTACCCTCCTCCCTTCCCTCCTCCCTTCCCTCCTCCCTTCCTTCATCCCTACCCTCCTCCCTTCCCTCCTCCCTTCCCTCCTCCCTTCCTTCCTCCCTTTTCTCCTCCCTTCCCTCCTCCCTTCCTTCCTCCCTTTTCTCCTCCCTTCCCTCCTCCCTTCTCTCCTCCCTTCCCTCCTCCCTTCCCTCCTCCCTTCCCTCCTTCCTACCCTCCTCCCTTCCCTCCTCCCTTCCCTCCTCCCTTCCTTCCTCCCTTTTCTCCTCCCTTCCCTCTTCCCTTCCCTCCTCCCTTCCCTCCTCCCTTGCCTCCGCCCTTCCCTCCGCCCTTGCCTCCTCCCTACCCTCCTCCCTTCCCTCCTCCCTTCTCTCCTCCCTTCCTTCCTCCCTTCCCTCCTCCCTTCCTTCCTCCCTTTTCTCCTCCCTTCCCTCCTCCCTTTTCTCCTCCCTTCCCTCCTCCCTTCCCTCCTCCCTTCCCTCCTTCCTTCCCTCCTCCCTTTTCTCCTCCCTTCCCTCCTCCCTTTTCTCCTCCCTTCCCTCCTCCCTTCCCTCCTCCCTTCCCTCCTCCCTTTTCTCCCCCCTTCCCTCCTCCCTACCCTCCTCCCTTCCCTCCTCCCTTCTCTCCTCCCTTCCTTCCTCCCTTCCCTCCTCCCTTCCTTCCTCCCTTTTCTCCTCCCTTCCCTCCTCCCTTCCCTCCTCCCTTTTCTCCTCCCTTCCCTCCTCCCTTCCCTCCTCCCTTCCCTCCTCCCTTCCCTCCTTCCTTCCCTCCTCCCTACCCTCCTCCCTTCCCTCCTCCCTTCCCTCCTCCCTTCCCTCCTCCCTTTTCTCCTCCCTTCCCTCTTCCCTTCTCTCCTCCCTTCCCTCGTCCCTTCTCTCCTCCCTTCCCTCTTCCCTTCCCTCCTCCCTTCCCTCCTCCCTTCCCTCAACCCTTCCCTCCTCCCTTCCCTCCTCCCTTTTCTCCTCCCTTCCCTCCTCCCTTCCATCCTCCCTTCCCTCCTCCCTTCCCTCAACCCTTCCCTCAACCCTTCCCTCCTCCCTTCCCTCCCCCCTTTTCTCCTCCCTTGACTCCTCCCTTCCCTCCTCCCTTCCCTCCTCCCTTTTCTCCTCCCTTCCCTCCTCCCTTTTCTCCTCCCTTCCTTCCTCCCTTCTCTCCTCCCTTCCCTCCTCCCTTCCCTCCTCCCTTCCCTCCTCCCTACCCTCCTCCCTTCCCTCCTCCCTTCCCTCCTCCCTTCCTTCCTCCCTTTTCTCCTCCCTTCTCTCCTCCCTTCCCTCCTCCCTTCCCTCCTCCCTTCCCTCCTCCCTACCCTCCTCCCTTCCCTCCTCCCTTCCCTCCTCCCTTCCTTCATCCCTACCCTCCTCCCTTCCCTCCTCCCTTCCCTCCTCCCTTCCTTCCTCCCTTTTCTCCTCCCTTCCCTCCTCCCTTCCTTCCTCCCTTTTCTCCTCCCTTCCCTCCTCCCTTCTCTCCTCCCTTCCCTCCTCCCTTCCCTCCTCCCTTCCCTCCTTCCTACCCTCCTCCCTTCCCTCCTCCCTTCCCTCCTCCCTTCCTTCCTCCCTTTTCTCCTCCCTTCCCTCTTCCCTTCCCTCCTCCCTTCCCTCCTCCCTTCCCTCCTCCCTTCCCTCCGCCCTTGCCTCCTCCCTTCCCTCCGCCCTTCCCTCCGCCCGTCCCGCCTCCCACCGTGCGTCATCGCTGTCATCAATCGGCGCAGTCCGGCTCCATCGAGTAACCCCCTTCCATGCTCCTTCGATCTCATTCCTGCGCTTTTCCAGTTCCGCGCAGCAGCAGGCGCCATAAAAGCAGAGTTCCTGCACTCAGGGGAAGGAGGTGAACCTGCAGTCACTTCACATGTGGGCGATTGTTTCTGCTCGCTCTCCTTCCATCCGTCCACCAGTTTCCCACGTGACTCGTCAAACGCTTCTATCTTTCCCAATCTTATCTCTCACGTTTCCAGTTCCAGCAAGCAGCAGGCGCCATGGGAGCAGAGTACCTGGACTCAGGGGAAGGAGGCGAGCCAGCGGTGGATTCGCCTGTGGATGACCACACAGGGAAGCCAGCAGCTGAAGGCTGTGTTGCCGCCCGCTCCCCAATGACCCCTGAGCAATTCCGAGAGTGGAAGGCGAGAAAGGTACAGTTTGCCTTTTGAGTTCACCCAAAAGCCGTTTCAGCAACTGAAAGCCGTGTGGCAGCTCGATCTCCAACGACTCCCGAGCAGTTCCGAGAATGGAAGGCAAGAAAGGTGTGCGGTCAGTTGTGCGAAAGTCGTATTTATCGGACTCAAAAGGACCAGCAGTCGATTTGCCCTGTGGATGGATGGGGGTCTGATAGGAGAGCCAGCAGCTGCTGAAGGCCGTGTGGCAGCCCACTCCCCAATGACTCCAGAGCAGATCTTAGAATGGAAGGCTGGAAAGGTGCGCTCTCAGGTGTTCAAAGGTCGTTTTTCTCGGACTCCAGTTTCGAGAATGGAAGGCTAGAAAGGTACGTGTTGGACTGTTGAGTTGACTTATGAGCTGCCTCAGCAGCCGAAGGCCGTGTGGCAGCCTGCTTCCCGTACAGCCCGCTCTCCAATGATTTTGGAGCCGGTCCGAGTATGGAAGACAAAGAAGGCGCATATTTTTGAGGCACCTAAAAAATAGACTCCTCACGCGTGGCTGCCCATTTCCCTTACAGCCCGCTCTCCAATGACTTTGGAGCAGGCCCGAGAATAGAAGGCAAAGAAGGTGCATCTTTGCCAAGCTAGCATGGCTGTTAGGGCGTGTCCCAAGTGTACGTTTTTGTTTTTTATACCCTACCCAATCGTTTTACTTTGCTATTCGACCCCGCTGAATCAGTGAGCATCTTACCCAACCGCAATCAAATGTACTCTTGGGACACGCCCTTAGAGCGTGTTCCTACCAGCCTCTTCCCAAGCAACCTCTTCCCAGACTCTCGTGCTACAGTGTCGCAAATTTTGACGCGAAATGTTTCAGTGCGATTCCGCGAAGTGCGAAGTGAGATTTGGCTTCCCGAGATTCAGGGGCGTGTTTTAAAACCTCTTTTCATTCGAGCAGATTTTCAGACAAGCGCGAATCTGCACAGTAAATTTTCGACGCCAGCTGGTTTTATGTGGTTGAGAGCGATGGAACGCAAATGTGAAACGGAAGTATTCCGAAAAGTGGTCCTGGGAACACGCTCTCAAGGTCTCGTGTGAGTCTAGGAAGAGGTTGCCTGGGAAGAGGCTCGTAGGAACACGCTCTTAGTCCTTGCGGCTCCAACCAACCCTGGTGTCATTCTCGCATGTGCCGTGCTGTTCCCTTCATATCGGAGCCAAACTATGATGTGTGTGATTCAAAACCTATTGTGTCTGGTCCCATTCCTCCTTTCCCCACTTGTTAGGATCAAGAAGAAACTGCGAGGAAGGAGGAGGCTGCAAGGAAGAGAGCAGAGGACATTGCGGCCGGGCGAGTACCCATGAATGGACGGGAGCTGTTTATCCATGAGCCATGGGTGTTCGACGATTCTAGATGTACATAGCAGCTTTTGTCTTGATGTATCACGTGCACTATTGAGCTGTAGCCCTTAGGAGCATTTCTATGATATCCAATCTGACATTACTAAGTAATGTCGGTATTTAGTAGGTTGATCTGCCGTAACGAGTTTCAATGCTGTATGTTGTTCGCGACTGATTTCGCCCTTCGCAGAAGCCCTGCGAATATACTACAGCGCACCATGTCTGCAGCTCCCTTCAAGCTTCTCTCTCCCTCTCCTACCTCCACCTCGGCCTACCCTGCCTCTCTATTTGTCTCCTGAACTAACCCTCCTAAACACCTCCTGTACTTAGATCCTGCGGCCGGTTAGGACGCTGCGACGGCTCGTGTGCGTTGTTGCTGTTTGCGTATCGGCTATCAATTCAGGGTATTGCATTGAGCACTAATAGCGTAACTGAGGTCTTCAATTAGCTTCAGATCGTTCCGAGGCCTATCTAGCTGCGAGCCTTACGAAGCGTCTCAGGGTGCCGTTCGCGGGCTGGGAGTCGAACCAGGAGGGAGGTTGAAGTTATCTACTAGAAGTCTCAAAGAAAGGTTTCTATCGAGCTTCGATCAGGTTTTTGATCGACCTAATTCGCCGATATCACAGTCGGGCTTTAGTGGTGGAGGATCAGGCTTCAACGGTCAAGGATCTGACGCTGCTTTGTCGGATTAGACATCAGCCGTCAAGAATCAGACGTTAACCGTCAAGATCAGACGTTTACCGTCAAGGATTTGATCTGACAGTGGGAGAATGGAGATCCCGAGGGAGGACTTCGAGCGAATCATGTTCTTCGAGCAGACGAGGGAGCAGGCCATGGCGGAGTTCAAGAAAAACCCACATGACGCCGATGTGAGTACTGGAAGGGGGGGCGTTTATTCAAGGGCTGTACGCTTGAAGGAGAAAGGAGATCCCGAGGGAGGACTTCACTTTTTTCGAGCCGACGAGGGAGCAGGACTTGGCGGGGTTCAAGAAGAACCCACATGACGCTGATGTGAGCACTGGTAGCGGGCCCGCTGATCCAAGTGCTGTACACTTGAAGGTGGGTCGGTTCGAGCAGAGGCGAGATGAGGTAATAGTGCAGTTCAAGGAGATTCTTCATGACGCCGATGTGAGTGCTGGTAGGGGAAATGGGGAAGCTTGTCAATTCAAGTGTTGTACCCTTGAAGTTGGTTCGGCTCGAGCAGGGAAGGGAGCAGGCCATGGCGGAGTTCAAGAAGGATCCTCGTGACGCCGATGTGAGTACTGGTAGCGGGCCCGTTAATTCAAGTGCTGTACGCTTGAAGTTGGTTCGGCTCGAGCAGCGGAGGGAGCAGGTCATAGCGGAATTCAAAGAGATTCTTCATGACTTCGATGTGAGTAGCTTTAGGAAGACTGCGGGCGCCCGTTGTTTCAAGTGCTGTACGCTTGAAGGTGGGTCGGCTCGAACAGGCGATGGCGGAGTTCAACGAAATTTCCCATGATGCGGATGCGAGCCTTTTTCTGAGTTGCATCAGAAGTTGCAGGAGTGGTCGCAGGAGTGGTCGCAGGCAGGTGTGGTCGCAGAACGGGGATCTGTCCCACGTCGCGGAGACGAGTCGTCCTCGCGACATGCGACGTGCGCTGTTGTCGCAGAAGGGGGATCCGCCCCACGTTGCAGAATCTGGCTAACCTGCTTCTCTGCACTTCTGCCTCTCCGTCTCTCTCCTCCCTTTGCAGAATCTGACCAAGTTGGGGCGACCGCTGGTGGGGCTGCGGGCGCAATCCAGTGCGTTCAGGGTCTTAGGCAGAATCTGACGAGCTTTGGTCTCTAAACACTCCTTTCTGCTTGCAGAATCTGACCAAGCTGGGGCGGACGCTGGTGGAGCTGGTGCAGTTCAGTGCATTCAGGGCCCTTGGCGGAGATGGATGATAGAGCCTGAATAGCATGGATCTCTGCGTCTCTGTTTCCCCTCGCACCCGCGCAGAATCTGACCAAGCTTGGACGGGCGCTAGTGGAGCTGGCTGGCGCAGTCCCAGAATCTGACGAGCTTTGGTCTCTAATCCCTCCTTCCCCCTCCCAGAATCTGACCAAGCTGGGGCGAACGCTGGTGGAGCTGGCGCAGTTTATTCAAGGCCAGGAGTCAAATGAGATGCTGGATGGTGAGCGTAATGGGGGCTGCTTATAGCGAGGTATCTAGTAGCGGATGATGTTTAGCTGTAAGTGAGCTGGTGCGGTTCATTCAGCGCCATGAGTCAAATGAGATGTTGGATGGTGAGTGGGGCGAGAAATGAGACTGCTCATAACGAGTCCATTTATTGAACGAAGTAAAAAAGACGACGATGCCGCGTCTGTTAGATTCTCCCATTCGTTAGCCGGACATTGCGGGTTCCAGATGCCCTCAACATCGCGCCTTCCCCCTGTGACACTTCCCACCCTCCCTCCCCCCCCTTCCCCTCCCTCCCCCCCCCCCTTCCCCTCCCTCCCCCCCCTTCCCCTCCCTCCCCCCCCCTTCCCCTCCCCCCCCCCCCTTCCCCTCCCTCCCCCCCCTTCCCCTCCCTCCCCCCCCCCTTTCTTCTTCCCCCTTCCCCTCCCTTCTCGCCCCTCACCCTCTCAACCACATTCCGCAGATGCTGTATCAAAGTTTGACGAGGCCCTTAAGATCGCCCCCTCCCTTTTCCCCTTCCCCCTCCTCCCCCCCTCCCCCCCCTCTCACCCTCTCAACCACATTCCGCAGATGCTGTATGAAAGTTTGACGAGGCCCTTAAGATCGCCCCCTCCCTTTTCCCCTTCCCCCTCCTCCCCCCCTCCCCCCCCTCTCACCCTCTCAACCACATTCCGCAGATGCTGTATCAAAGTTTGACGAGGCCCTTAAGATCGCCCCCTCTCGACCAGACACGCTCTGGTGGCTCGGCAATGCGCACACCACCAGAGGCTTTCAGACCCCTGACGCCACTCTTGCCAACGTCAGCTTTGAAAAGGCCTCGGACTGCTTTAGGAAGGCATTGGATGCGGTACGTGGTGATTCTGTGCGGTTTTCTGTGGTTTAGCGTGCTGATATGGTATTGCATTGCGCACATCACCAGGGCTTTCAGACCCCTGACGCCACCCTTGCCAACGTAAAAGGCGTTTGACTGCTCCAGAAAGGCCTTGCATGTGGTTTGTGGCGGTTCAGTGCGGTTGAGCTTGTTGGTAATGGTTTCACTTACGCCCTCATCATGTCTCCTTCCATCCTTGAGGGACCTCTGAACCCCGAAATGTATTCCGTCCTTTCTCTTCTTATTGCAGGGCCCAACTAACAATGCATATCGTAAACACTGGAAGGAGGTGCTTAAAGTTGTGCGTCATCCCCCTCTTTGTGCGTCCCGTTTCTCTTCTCATTGCAGGACCCAAGCAACGACGCGTATCGCAAGTCACTCGAGATATCTCTCAAGGTGAGTCAAGACCCGTTCTGCGGTGTTTTCTGCATGCGTGATTTGTTTTTCCGCAGCTGCCTTTTTTTAGGCGCCGCAAGAATTGCCTGAAGGTGAGGCATGTGGCGGGCTTCTGCTGTGTTTCGTGCATGTGTGACTTGCCCGCGTTAGCTATTTGGAGGGTGGCGTTATAGGCGTGGTGTCCCCTATCAATCTAAGCCATTTAGGATCAGAATGCTAGTCTGTTGCTCGCCCTCTAAAAATGTGTGTGCGTGTGGGTCGATCGGCTGTTGTTCTTTCGTTGCTCAGCATGCAGGGGGAAATCGACTGTGTGTGTGCTGTCTGATATCCCGCAGAATTTGTACTAACTCACCTTGTTCCCTTCACCTCGAAATGAATGTTTCTACATCCCACTCGCAGGGCCCTGAGTTTCATCAGGAGGTGCAGAAGTAGATGGCTCAATGCACCACTCACGCTCTCTCCTTACACCCGCAATGAGTGTCTCTCAACCCACTCGCAGGGCCCTGATTTGCACCAGGAGGTGCAGAGGCAGATGGCTTGTAATGCGCCCCAAAATTCGTGCCAACTTACTTTGTTTCCTTTGCCTAATACCTTTTTTGTCTTATCTCGATCGCAGGGCCCTGAGTTGCATCAGGAGGTGCAGAAGCAGATGGCACTGCAGCAGGCGCTGGGGGCGGCTGTGCATCCATCCTCCATGGACGCTCCCAAGGTATTTCCCCCATGCTAAGATGCACTCTGCTTTTCTGTAAGTGACCGCTTAAGCTGGCAATAAGAGGTGCAGAAGCAGATGGCACTGCAGCCGGCGCTGGGGGCTGCCGTGCATCCATCCTCCATGAACGCTCCTAAGGTAAGCCCCGTTATACAGTGATGCACTTTTCTGTGCTTGTGAGTGATTAGCCTGAGCTGCATAAAGAGGTGCAGAAAGCAGGCTCTGGGGGCTGCCGTGCATCGATCCTCCATGGATGCTCCTAAGGTATATCTAACAGCAATAATAATTTTCTTGCTTTGGTAGACCAACCCTCATTGCTCACCAATCCTCCTTTCTCACAACTTCTACACATCCTCATAGGCATCACTCTGGTCTATGGTTACTGTTTGTGGTTTGTGCATGCCCCTGCTCGTCAGTCTTGAAATTGATGCCCTACTTTTGCCGAGGTCCTGTTCTGGCTGTAAAATGGCCCGCCAAAGTGCATCACCCCCTTGGTATGCTTCTTCCTGTGTGCAGGTCCAGAAGAAAAAGAAGAGCAGTGACTTGTGGTATGACGTGGCAGGATGGGTCATTCTGAGTGTGGGTGTTGTGGCGTGGCTCAGCATTCTCAGTGCCCGAGCGCCGCCACCTGCTGCTGCTGCCAAGTGATAGCAGCAGTGATAACAGTGATTGTGGTACCCGATGACGTGGCAACATGGGTGTATTCCCAGTGTGAGCTCCACCCGCTGCTGCCAAGTGATATGAAAGTTCAATTGTAGGTAAGCTGCAGCAGCAGGTGGGGAGTAGACCCTGAAAATGGCTTTGCCTCTTGCTGCTGCCAAGTGATACTGGCACAAATGTCAGTTGTAGGCATGCAGCAGCAGCAGCAGCAGCAGCAGTAGTAGCGGGTGGGGATCAGACAGGGAATGGCTATGGCCAATGTTGCCATGAGAAATGACGAAAGAGCAATTACTCTCCAAACAGGAATGCATAGATAGGGTGCTTGTGTGCAATGGTGATAACTTTACGAATCGTACTGCTTTGTACATTTACAAGGTGTTCCTGGTAAATCAGGGTGTGTGCCAGCAAGAAGCTAACTCATGGTTAAAGCTATCAGTAACAATCCCTACATCTCTAAGAAGCTACTTAATAATAACTGGTTAGCCGCCGAAGCCGTACAGGGTTCTGCCTTGGCGTTTCAAAGCATACACGACATCCATAGCAGTGACCGTCTTTCTCCGCGCGTGCTCCGTGTAAGTGACAGCGTCGCGAATGACATTCTCGAGGAACACCTTCAGCACGCCGCGCGTCTCTTCGTAGATGAGACCGCTGATGCGCTTCACGCCGCCGCGGCGAGCGAGACGCCTGATGGCCGGCTTGGTGATGCCCTGGATGTTGTCGCGAAGCACCTTCCTGTGACGCTTCGCGCCTCCCTTTCCGAGACCCTTGCCTCCCTTGCCACGCCCCGACATGGTAAGTAGTCGGAATTAGTAGTTAGAATTACCGAAGGAAAGGCAGAGTGAGCACACGGTCAGGAAAGATGCGAGGTTGTTGTAGATTCAGACTTTGCAGAGTATATGCAAATCGAGATGCAGGATGATTGAACGGTACTGAGAGAGGAAGTGCAGGCGTAGAAACCGTAGGTAATGTGATGAGTTGTTGAGAGATAAAAGGAATGGTTGATGCACTGCGACTACTACCACCCTCCATTTATGCCTGAGACCCACAGTCCTACAGCAGCGTTTGTGGCAGGGCGAGGCCCAACCGAGAGTTACGTGGGGATGAGGCCTGGGATGGAGCTTGATTGCTCCAGGTGGTTTGGTTTGGGGTGGTTGGATAAGTATTCGAGTGATTGATTGTCGTCGATGACGTTTTTCGGTGATTTTTATCGACGGCTTGACGTGATCTGCGTCGACGCGAGTCCCTTGTTCAAACGTGATCTGATTGGCTGTAGCGGGTGCAAAAACATTTGCGAGACTTGCTTACCGGACCGCAACCTTGCACCGTCAGTTCAGATCGAATGGGCAGTAAAACCAAATTGGTGGCACAGCAACGAACTGTGTGAATCGCTTTGGGAAAAAAATCCGAAGCTTATCGAACGGCTACAAATCTTCAGAGTCGATCCTTCATCAACGATTTTATTGGTCGTCACTAAAGCTCGATCGATCCGTCGAGCTTTCTCTGATTCGCCAAAACTAACAGCCCCGCAGTCCCCAAGGTCCAACCCAAACCCAGCCTACCTTCGCTGCAGCACCAAGCAAGGAACAATTCAAATTGCGCTGCAAAGCTCCTTTTCCATAATCCAAGCTCCTTTTCTACATTCTAAGCTCAGTCTATTCCTAGCTTCGCGACTTCATCGCACAAACCTAACTGGGTCATCCTCGTTCCGCTTCCTAGTCTAGTTTTTGTTCGCCAGAACCCGTCGTCCAGATGGCTCCTAAGGTCGAGGGAGAGCAGAAGGCTGCCAAGAAGGGCCCGAAGAAGGAGCCCGCTGCTAAGAAAGCCGTTCCCGCAGGAAAGAAGCCCATTGGAGAGAAGAAAGAGAAGAAAAAGGCTCGAAAGGCCGTCACGGAGACGTACAAGATCTACATCTACAAGGTGCTGAAGCAAGTGCATCCAGACACGGGTATTTCGTCCAAGGCCATGTCGATCATGAACTCGTTCATCAACGATATCTTCGAGAAGCTCGCGACGGAGGCGTCGAAGCTTGCGCGGTACAACAAGAAGCCGACCATTACGTCTCGCGAGATCCAGACGGCTGTTCGGCTGACGCTGCCTGGAGAGTTGGCAAAGCACGCTGTGTCTGAGGGTACAAAAGCTGTGACGAAGTTCACAAGTGCTTAGCTGAATCACAGTTCGTTTTCTAATAGGTATATGCCTTTGCTGTAATATAACTCTATTAACTGGACTTTTTCTACATATACGGCCGGTGGGATTACGTCTAGTAGAGCATTTATTCTCCTTACGTTAGGATCAGTAGTGGTCAACTACGTGCACTTTCAGTAGTGGTCAACAGCCCATAGCCGTCAGTCGACTGCGTGCGTGCGTTATCGAGCCTGCGTGCGTTATCGAGCGTGCGTGCGTTATCGTATTTCTGTCGATAACCTTTGACGCCGCCCTTGTCGATCTATCTCCATACATAGTGCTTCCGAAGCAGTCTGAATCCAAAATATTCGCGCACCACAGGCAGAACTCTTAAAGCTTTTAGTGTTCAGAAATTAGTTAGTAAATGACGGTCAACAAATACATGGTTAGAGCCTAAGCACATGACATTAGAACTACAAGTCTACTAATAGCCATACAGGCAGGGAACCTAACCACCAAAGCCGTACAGTGTCCTGCCTTGACGCTTCAGGGCGTACACGACATCCATGGCAGTGACCGTCTTCCGCCTGGCGTGCTCCGTGTAAGTGACTGCGTCGCGAATGACATTCTCGAGGAACACCTTCAGCACGCCGCGAGTCTCTTCGTAGATTAGACCGCTGATACGCTTCACGCCGCCGCGGCGAGCAAGTCGTCGAATAGCCGGCTTGGTGATGCCCTGGATATTATCTCGAAGCACCTTACGATGACGCTTTGCCCCGCCCTTTCCGAGGCCCTTGCCTCCCTTCCCTCGACCAGACATATCTGCAAGAAAACTTAGCTTCTCAGAAGTCGAGTGGAGGAATCTTTTGCTCGAACACCGATGCTGGGGGGAATGCTAAGTCGAAAGTGAACTGCTGTGACAAGGCGATGGCTGTGCTCTTTATTCCAGCCGTGGCTGTTATCTGTGGTACAGAACAGAAGGAACGCGCTGGCTAGTTGGGAAGGGATGGGAAAGGGGGGAAAGGGAGGGAAGGGATGGGTTGGCCCAAAATTGGAAGCACGAGAACTTCCAGCCTGCGGATCAGCCACACCAGAACAGAATCGGACGGTCAAGAGAGGGAAGTGAGGTGAACTGCTTCACGCTATCTGACGGCTCGACGTACTTCCGTCGATCCCCGAATCCCTCGTCGTAAGAAACCCCACTTGGATCCAGCTGCTGCAATATTCTAAACTTCGCTTAAAGCGCGGGTCTCGAGAAGCAAAAAACCAAATCCAAAAGGTTTGGTTTTGGGTTGACGAAATTAGCAAAACAGTAACAACGCCCAACTAGCACCCTCACCACACCTCGCAATTTTCGAGATCCTCCGAAACCAAAACGTTTGGGTTTGGTTTTTGCTTCTCGAGACCATCGCTTTAACTTCACCAATACCCAACAATTTAAAGCCCGCATCTCATATTTCCTATGGTAATACTCTTGGTACTAGGTAACATATGTTCTTTTTGTGCGAGGGCTTGCAAGTGAGTGCGAGAGATATTTACAACCTCAGCAAAGCAAACCCGAAGACGCGTTCGTAATAACCGAGTTTTCAGAACTTGGGCTGGTGACACCGGAATCAGGACCCGAAACATCTCACGCAACAAAATTTCGGCCCAAAATCCAACACTGGAATCGCAACTACTTGCGAAACTTTGAGAGCCACGAGACGGCACCTGAACCAAGGCTAAAGCAGTAGTCCTGGGAGGACCTGAGTGTCTCAGCATCGTCTGCCCACGAAGCGTCTGTGTGCTTGGTAAGGACCACTGGCCTGCATCCTCCCAGCACGAGTCCCATGCCCGATGTCCTTGCTAGATAATGCAAAACCCTGTTAGCTGCCGACCAGTGCTGTGTTCGGTGTCTGATCCCGCCTGCTGCCTCGGTCGGTCGTCTGATCCTCCCCATGCTCTTCCCTGACCTTGCGTCGTTCCCCACTGTCGCCGACCTGGCCACTCACCTGCGCACTATAGACGAGACCTGGCGTGCTGCCTGCACTCCCACACAGCTTCTAGCCCACCAGCTGCCCCTTACCTCTACTCTCTACCTGCTAGCCACCCGCCTCCTTGACCGTCTTGCCACTGCCCGTGACCACTTCCTTAGCGTCCACCCCGCAGACCTCAACCTCACTGACTTTGTTGACACCCTGTCCGCTATAGAGGCCCGCCACCGCTCTATCACTCAGACCAGCGGTACTGTGCTGGTCCCTATCTTTCAGGGTTGCACCCCCACTCAGTGCACCTTCTCTGACGGTTCTGTTGCTGTGGCTAAGACTGCCGCTGCAGCACAGGTCCGTCCGGGGAAGGGTCGCCGCCCCAAGGCTGGGCGTGGCGGCGGGGGTGGGGGTGCAGGTGTAGGTGGTGCAAGAGCTGGGTCTCCTGGTGGTGGTGCGGACGAGGGGACCCTGCCAGGTGCAGCCGAGCAACCGTCTCAGCAGCCGCTGGCGTTGCAGCCGGACTCGTGTCAGCCGCAGCAATCGCAGCAGCCGCAGCAGTCGCAGCCGCAGCAGAGACGGGCGAGTGGTCTCCCGCCCGGGTGGCCTGGCGCTGGTGGTAGCGCTGGACGTGGTGGGCTGCCGAGTGGTGGTTCGGGTGACGCGCGCTGTCAGTACCAGCTCCAGACCGGTCCTCGCCGTGGCTTTGTTTGCGGTAAGATCGGTCACACCTCCGTCCGCTGTTTCCGTCGCCTGGACGACCTGTTTCGTCAGCGTTTCAGCCCGTCGCCCGAGCTCCCAGACTGGCACAGTTTGCTTCGTCGAAGGGTTCTGATTTTTGATCTGGATATGGATGAGATTGTTACTGCTCTGCATGTGATGTATGCTGATGACTCTAGTGTGCTTCCGTCTTATTACCCCTTCTTGCCTAGTGTAGGTGTGCCTTGCTTAGACTCCCCTGCTGCGTCAGGCGTAGGATCCCCTGCTTTGTTTAGCCTTGGTGCTTCCGTCGCTGCTTCGCCTCCGGCCGCCACTGCCGCGCTCTCCTTCACCCTCGACTCTGGCGCTTCCCGGTGCTTCTTCCGCGACTCCACCACGTTGACACCGCTTCCTGTCCCTGCCGCAGTCTCTCTTGCTAACCCCTCCTCCGGCCCAGTAGTCGCCCGCAGTTCCACTACCCTCCTCTGCCCGGCGGTTTCTTCGGGCTCGTTCACAGGACTGCATATCCCCTCATTCTCCAGGAACCTAGTTGGTGTCGGCTGCCTTCAGGACCTTGGCGTCACCACTACGTTCCCTGGACACGAGCGGTACGCGGTCTGTACTGAGGCCGCCACTGGTGCCCCCCTGTCCACGTTCCCACGGGACCCGGTGTCCGGTCTTTTCACACTGGACACGGTGACCCCCCCAGTTGGGACCCCCCCTCAGGTGACTGCGTCTCTCCCGGTTGCTGCTGCCTGCTCTTGTCGGTCTCTCACTCACCTGACTCTTCTCTGGCACCACCGCCTAGGTCACCCTGTGCTCCCCCGTCTGCGTCACATGTCACAGCACGGTCTCGTCCTAGGCCTCCCCGGGTCGTTCCCCGAGTTTCCCTCCTCCCCAGCCCCACCTTGCACGCCCTGTGTCGAGGGCCGGCTCCGCCGTGCCCCTCACTCCTCCTCGTTTCCCCCTACTGCAGCACCGCTACAGACTCTGTACATGGACGCCTGGGGCCCCGCCCCCGTCCATGGGCCGCGTCGAGAGCGCTACTTCCTAGTGCTTGTCGACGACTATACGCGCTACACCACTGTGTTCCCCCTGGAGCGGAAGGCCGACGTGCCTGCCGTTCTTATCCCGTGGCTTGTCTCTTCGCGTGTCCACCGCGGTCTCCCTGTCTTGCATCTCCACTCCGACCGTGGTGGCGAGTTTGCCTCTGGTGTCCTTGGTCGTTTCTGTCGTGCGGAGGGCATCACCCAGACGTTCACCTTGCCGGACTCCCCGCAGCAGAATGGGGTCGCTGAGCGACGCATCGGTTTGGTCATGGAGGTGGCTCGCGCCTCCATGATCCGTGCCGGAGCACCCCATTTTCTGTGGCCGTTCGCCGTTCGCTATGCCACTCACCAGCTTAACCTGTGGCCGCACCCCCAGCAGCCTCAGGTTTCGCCGACCCTCGTTTGGTCTGGTTCACCTGGTGACGCGTCTGCGTTCCGCGTCTGGGGCTGCCTTGCTCACGTTCGTGCCTCTGGCACGGACAAGCTCACTGCCCGCACCCTTCCCTGTGTCTTCCTCGGCTTCCCCCTTAACGCGTCTGACTGGCACTTCTACCACCCGCCATCTCACCGGTACTTTCACTCCCGTGAAGTCACTGTTGACGAGTCCGTCTCCTTCTTCCGCCGCTTCCCCCACCGCGGTCCCCCGGTTACCCCCCCCTTGTTCCTGGTCACCCCTTCCCCGGTCGTCGCCGCCCCTCCTCCTCCCCCTCCCCGTCCTGCCCACTCTGGTGTGTCCCACGTCACCCCACTTATGTCGGTTGTCCCGGTTGAGGAGTCTGCTGACTCTGGTGGTCCTGTGGCGCAGCCCTCGCCGCCTGCCCCTTCTCAGGTGTCTCCTCCTCCGCCGCCTCCGCAGCCGCCGTCGCCACTCGCCCAGATCTCGCATACCCTCTCAGCATCTTGGCTCGCTTTGTGGCTCCAGGCAGACACCGACCTCAGCACTGGTCTGCCGCTAAGAGGGTTTTGCGTTATCTTGCAAGTACATCGGGCATCGGGTTAGGGCTAGGAGGACACAGGCTAGTGGTCCTTACTGGACACACAGACGCTTCTTGGGCAGACGACGCCGAGACCCTCAGGTCCTCGCAAGGCTACTGCTTCAGCCTTGGTTCAGGTGCCGTCTCGTGGAGAGCTACCCGCTCGTCGTCTGTTGCCCAGTCCAGCTGTGAGGCCGAGATCTACACCGGTGCCATGGCGGCACAGGAGCTCCGCTGGCTGACCTTCTTGCTCACTGACTTAGGTGAGTGGCCTAGCTCTGCCCCGGTCCTGTACGCTGACAACAGGGCCATGATCCTCCTGTGTCAGGAGCCTCGACTCGAGGGCAGAGCAAAACACATCCAGCTGCGGTACTTCCTCCTGCGTGAGCTCCAGCAGCGCCGCCAGGCGCGCGTAGTACACTTGGCCTCCGGTGCCAACACAGCTGATATCTCTACGAAGATGCTTGCGCCTAAAGATCATCAGCGGCACTGTGTACAACTAGGTCTCGTTCCTGTAGCCTCTCACTTGCTAGGGCCTTGACCTTGTTCTGTCCTTTATATATATATTTTACCCTGACTGGCCTTGTGGCCTCTCCCAGTGGCTGGACTAGTAGTGCCGCCCTGGTCTTGCTCTTGTCTTGTCTGTACTCCTTTGACTGGTCTTTAGACCCTTGCCTCAGAGGCTGGACTAGAAGTGCTGCCCTGAGCTGCTTCTTTCCCTATTAGGCACTGCCGCTATATAGTCTAGGGGGTGTGTCAAATGTAACTTAGGTCGTTACTGTAGACTATACTGGGTTGTGCCTTAGAGGGTATAATACCCTAGTCTATAAGCCCTTGTACTCACACATTCTAGTTCAATTATTCTTTATGATATCTGTGGCCACAAAGCGTTGCCAGGATGCTGAGAGGGTATGCAAGATCTGGACGAGTGCAAGTCATCAGGTACATGAGGCAACCCACTAGCTCAACGTACGGACCACTGGGCTCTACAAACTCTTCAGGAACTGGAGCTGAGAGCATGTGGTCTACTGGCAGCTCAGGTAGACCTGCTCGAGTAGGCTGTTCTAAAGAAAAGCTATGGAGAAGTCGAGGGAGTGTAGCTCGTAGTCACGCTGTGTTGCTATGTATAGCAGCGCCCGAAGAGTAGTCACCTTCAAGGTCGGGGCGAAGATCTGAAAGAAGTCCACACCCTCGCGCTGACTGAACCCTCTAGCCACGTAGTGTGCCTTGAGTACATGCGACTCTCCAGGGGGGCGCTTCACCTTGAAGAGCCATCGGCCATTGAC